GCCTTCTGCCTGGTCACTGCATCACCAACTTCTGCCATGTCCACACCGCCCCCTGGTGGTCAGCACAAGTCAAAGCGAGTGAAGGGCAATTTGCATATTAGGCTTTTATTATAGAGGATGTCCGAGGAAGCTGCCTGGGAAAACTGGCCCTGTCTCTGCTTTCAGGGATAAATATGGACCCTTTTACGTTCCCCTGTGAGGAGTGGTCCAGCTCCATGTTCTGGTGTTTCGTGGGTCAATTGAATTTTTCTTTAAAAATTCACTTTTCATTTGCACCATCAGATAGGATGGTAAACCTTACCCCTTTCCAGGCCTCAGGCCACTCTCACTCCTACAGGCACTCACCTTGTCTCCTTTTTCCTCTCCCCGCTTAGGTTCCGAGGATTAGCCAGCTCTGCCACCTTCCTCCCTCCGCGTTTGCTCTTGTTTGTTCTGCACGGATCCATCCTTCTTTATCTGGGCGATTGTTCTTTCCTTGGCTTCTCGGGCAGAGAGCTCAGCTCCCTCAGTTTCAGGCACGATTGTCTGCGAATAAACTGCTGTCACTCCCACCTGCTTGAGCCCCTTGGGTGGTGCCTGTGGGTTTCCAGAGGTGCCGTTCGCATTTGTGTTCATTTTAAAGTCTGTGATGTCCCTTTCGTTTCCTTCAAACCCCAAATTATACATAAGGGTATTTTTATTTGTGGTATTAGTTCCCAAGTAGAAATATTTTCCAAACTTAGCTTATGTTTTATTGAACTGCACTGTATTCAGCAAAGATTGCAGATTGTAGATGCACGTGTGTCTGTATGTGTGCAGACATGTGTGTGTGTACATGTGTACAGATATCTGTATGTACAGCCTTGGGATGTCTGCCTTTGGAATTCCTGACATGTTCCTTATGGCCAGTAGTTTTTGTGGCTATTTAATGTGTGATTGAAAATAATATAAATTATGTACTTGAATGATACAATACATAGGAAAATAATTTCAAGCTTTTAAAATATATAGTTTTTTAATGATTTCAGAGAGGAAGGAAGAGGAAAAGAGAGAAACATCAATGATGATGGAGAATCATGGTTTTCCTGCTTGTCCCCTACTGGGGTTTGAGCCTACAACCAGGACACATGCCGTTGTTCAGAATTGAACCCAGGACCCTTTAGGCCAAAGGCCGACACTCTATCCACTGAGCCAAACTGGCTAGAGCAACATCAAGCTTTTTATTGTTTTATTAATTTGTTTTGGGATTTCTTGATCTGTCGTCTTAAATGACAACAAAGAGGCTCTATTTTTTGAAGACACTCCTCCCACCCAGCTGGGGCTGCGGCTGCAACTGTGGAATGAAAGGACCAGAGACCAGCAAGGGGATGGACATGCAAGAAGGTCAGTGCAGGCGGCTCAAGGATGAGGCCACCTTTGTCCCCAGAACGGTGCCCCTCTCCCCACAGGCACAGAGGACTCTGGTTTTATGTCCCATCCCGTGTAAATCCTGCTGTCCAGGCCCACTGCCATCAGCTACATGCTGTGGGCCACGGCCCAGGCAAGGGGGAGGCTACGAATCCTACCATGTCTCTGTGCCACCGGACCAGGCTCAGCCACAGGCCCCAGCAACCACGACCCTCCTCTCCTGCTGCCGCGAGCACAGGCCCGCCTGGCAGCCCAGCTGCCCACTCGGCTCCCAGAATAGCCTGTGGTCACAGCCCAGGAGTCAGATGAGTAATCCTGAGGGAAACTCTGCAGAACCCGAGAGGTGTGGGCACTGGGCCCTGAGCGTTGGGCAGGCCCCCTGGCCCCTCTATGTCCAGCAGAAGGGGGTGCATGGGGGGGGGGAGGCAGAAGGGGGTGTTGCAGAGGAAGAGACCCGCCAGTGCACGGGCTGTGCTGCGCCCCCCTCTAAAATGTTCCAGCCCCTTCCTCCCTCCACCCAAACTTCAAGGCCCTCATGTGCTTCTGGGCCCTACCCAGGGTCTGGGCATTTTAGGTCCCAGTGCTCAGAACAGAGTCCCACAGACCTCGGCGTTCCTGTTCCCTCGCGGTCCAGCTTCTGTTCCAGTCACTGCCCCAGGATGTCTGAGTCCCTCCCGGCTGCAGTCTTCCCCACTTCCCGTCACCCCGACACAGTGCACACTAGCGTTGGGACGCTGCTTTGGGAGGAAAACCCCAGAATCGCTCCCTGGTCTCCAGGGAGCAGCATGTCAGCCCCCAGTGCCCTCCGCGGCCAGCCCTGCCCGGCCCAGCTCTGCTCAACAGCGAGGCCGAGGCCGGAGGGGGTTTCTTGTGTGTGTGTGTGTGTGTGTGTGTGTGCATGCAAGTGTCTGTACATACCGTGTGTCAGGGTATCTATGTTAGTGTGCCTGTGCATTGTCTGTATGTACATTTGTGTGCATCTGTGTGTGTTTGTGTTTTGTAATTTCCATGGATGGATCCATTGGACCATATCGAATTACTCCTCGGACAGAGTATAAAGGAAAGGCCCAGGGTTCTCTATTCTCTGTCCTCCTGTGGGTGTGCCGTTCTCAAAGTCTCTTTCACCAGCATCACCTTAACCTGTGACCGCTGGCTCCGGGCTGGATGGGGGCTGGTGTCTATTCTTTGACCCACCTGCTTGGCCTCAGGGCAGAGCTTGAACAAGGCCTGGGTGTGAACATAAGAACAGGAGAGCCCCAGCTGGTTTGGCTCAGTGGATAGCGTGTTGGCATGCGGACTGAAGGGTCCAGGGTTTGATTCCGGTCAAGGGCAGGAGCCCAGGTTGTGGGCTCAGTCCACAGTAGGGGGCAGCCAATCCATGATTCTCTCATCATTGGTATTTTCTCTCTCCCTCTCTGAAATCAATACAAATATATTTAAAGCAAACAAACAAACAAACAAACAAAGAGCAGGAGACAGATTCTCAGACCGCAATGGCTGCCCAGGAAAAGAGAGGGGTGGGTAGGGGGACCCAGTGACATTGTGCGAGGGAGCCATGCAGGGTCATGGGAGAGTCCAAATACCATCTCGGCTCCTACGGCGAGCCCCAGTGGAGCCACACCTGCTGCCCTGGTGTATGGGATGGGCCCACTCACACCCACGATGAGGACACTGCCATGTGGCTGGTGGGGTGTGGAGGCCAGGACCCCCACGGCTAGGCTGAGTGACCACAGACCTCAGCCCCTCCATGCCAGGGGACTTGTCTTTGCTCCCCTCCCCCGCCCCCAGGTGGAGTAGCCTCTTGTGCACCCAAAGGGAATGCCAGTAAGTAGGGGGGGGGGGGGGGACTCAGCGTCCAGGAAGAAGCTGTCTGCGTCCACCTCCTGGTCAATTCCATCCCTCCTGCCCCCCCCCTAGTCCAGCCCTCTCGTTCCCCCAGGTTAGCAGGGACTCCCCTTCACTCAGTGTCCAGTGGGCCTGCTGACCTCAGGCACTGGCAGGCGTGAGACTCAGGCGAGTGGCAGGGATAATGCACCCTGAACCCACCAAGGGAAAGCTGAGGTTCTGGCAGGGTGGTGGTGTTCCAGGAGCACAGTGAGCAATGGGGGTGCCTGGTCCCCATCCCCTCTCCTCTGGCAGGAGAGGCTGTGGCCAGGCACTATCCACCGGCTTTAGACACCACCGAGGCCTCCGCAGGGAGGGGCCCCTCTTCCTGCCAGGCTCCTGCCTTCCTCCCTGTGACTTTGGGGTGACATTCACAGTCACACTTCCCCGTGGGGTTGCGGGTCCAGAGGCTGGGTGGGCTCGGGAGAGGCCAGAGATAGCAGAAACGGGCCCTGAGTGTGCGAGCTGATTCTGTGCTTCTGGGAGGCAAATGAGGGTGAGACAGACAAACAGACAGACAGACAGACACACACACACACACACACACACACACACACACACACACTGCTCCTCTGAGCAGCACACACCGGGCACCCTCTGTGCCCTGAGAGCCGCTTGGGCTCTGGCGCCTGAGTGAAGTCTCAGGCGCGTCCCCAGAGGGAGTTTGAGGGTGGGGGTGGGGGATTGGGGGGAGGGTAGGGCCCTCCCGGGGCTGGAGATTTGGGTAAAAAACCACGCTCCTCCGTTCTTTCCGGCGACAGCCTCACCCCCCTTCCCCTCGCCGCGGCGGGGGCGGGGAGGGGGGGGGCGCAAGGTCGCCGTCTGGCGGCGCAGACGCCCAGCGGCTCCGGGGAGGGACTTGGCCGGGCCTGGCCCCGCGAGGGCGGAGGCGCGGAGCTGAGCTAGCGGTCGGCTCGGGGCGGGCACTGGTCCGGGGCAGCGAGCCGGCCCTGGGCCCGTGGGGACAGCGCGGCGAGGGCACCCGTTCCCGCCGGAGCCAAGCCGCGTTCCGCCTCCGTCCCCTCCCGAGCGGCGTACCCCGGGCGAACGCGGCGGGAGGCGCCCTCTCCCGCGGGCCCGGCGCTGCAGCGGCATCGGGGCGCGGCCGGGGGTGGAGAGAGGAGAGGGAGCCGAGCGGCCGGGCGGCGGCGACTCGCGGGGCCGCGGCTCCGCCAATCTGCGGACGCTGACGCGGGGGGCGGCTCCGGGCGTTCGGATATCTGCCCGCCCGGCGCGGGCATCGCGAGGCTCCGCCGTGGGCACTGCGCTCGGCTCGGCGCTGCACCTGCCGGGATCGCCCGCCGCTCGGTGTGCCCCCCGCCGCTCCGCCTCCCTGGATCCCGCCTCCAGGCCGCAGCGAGAGGGCCCAGCCCAGCCCGAAGAGCCGCCTTTCTCCGCCGCCGGCGCGGCGCGGCCAGCGGAGCCGGATCGGATTGCTCCTGGTCGCCACCGCCACCCCCAGCCGCGCGCCCGGCAGGCATGGGGCGCCGCTCGGGGGCCCCGCGTTCCGGATGAGCGCGGCGGCGCAGAGCCGGTCACTCGCCTGGGCCCCGGCTCCGCGGACCAGGACCTTGGGATGGCCCGGCCAGCGCGCGCTCGGGCGGTGGGCGCTTCCCACGTGGCGCGGGCCTGGGAGCATCCCCGGAGCGGGTAGCTGCCGGAAGCCGGATGGACCTTGATCCGCGCGGCGCCTGGTCCGTGCCGAGCCGAGCCTAGAAGGCGCCGGGAAGATGATCCAGGTGCGCCGGTTCCGCGTGCTCGTGCTGATGGTGTTCCTCGTGGCCTGCGCGCTGCACATCGCGCTGGACCTGCTGCCGCGGCTGGAGAGGCGCGCGCGGCCCCCGGGGGAGCCCGGCTGCTCCTGCGCGCAGCCGGGTGAGGCGGCGGCCGGCTGGGCCCAGGCGCGCGGCCGCCCCGGGGAGCCCTCCGCCGCTGGGGACCCGGGCTGGCCGCACAAGCACACGCTGCGCATCCTGCAGGACTTCAGCTCCGACCCGGCCTCCAACCTCACGTCCCACTCGCTGGAGAAGCTGCCGCCCGCCGAGCCGGCCGAGGGCGCCGTGCGGGGCCAGGACCCCAGGGTGCCCCGACCCCGCGGCCCGGCCCACCGGCCTCCGCTTCGAGACCCCGGCCCCCGGCGGCCCGCGCCGCTGCCCGGCCCCAGCGGGGACGGCTCGCTCCTGGCCCGGCTGTTCGAGCACCCGCTGTACCGGGTGGCCGTGCCCCCGCTGACTGAGGACGACGTCCTCTTCAACGTGAACAGCGACATCAGGTTCAACCCCAAGGCGGCGGCGGCGGCGGAGAACCCCAACTGGTGAGCGGGTCCAGGGCCAGGGTGGGCGTGGGCAGGCTGGCCCTCAGGCAGCCACGCGCCCTTTGAGAATAAAGACCCACCGGTGCCTTCCTCCTCGCCCCCCCCCCCCCCAAAAAAAGGCCCTTCCCGTCCGGGCACTGTGTGCGGAGTCCACGGCCACCCGCCACCCCGCCTCTTGTCCCCGCTGTCTTTGTCTCTGGAAGGGAAGGGGCAGATGTGGAGCTGCTCCTGTCTGCGCCTGGGCTCTGGGCAGGGGAGCCAGAGGGTCCTCCAGGCCCTGGTCCTGGGCTTGGGAAGTGGGCTCAGGCCATGAATGAAGGACGAGCTGCGGGTGGAAGGAGGGAGAGCCCCCTTGTCCCTGCCCCTGCCTGGGAGCCAAGCCTGCTCTGTGCAAACTTGTCCCTGAGATCCATTAGCTAGCAGCTGGTGTGCGGGCTCCAGTGGCTAAGGAAGGGCTCTCCCAGTTGCTGTGCCAGTGCCGGCTGCGTGGGGCAGCCGGGGTGACAGCTTCACGGGGTGACAGCTTCAAGAAACCAGGAGAAGCATCGCCAGAAGCATCTCTTTAAACTGTCCTGGTCTAAACCCTCCCCCAAGGCCCTCCTCAGCGGCAAAGAGCAAGCTGAGCAGATGCTGCCAGCAGGGTGGTGAAATATTAACCAGCAGCGCTGCCGAATAAACAGCTACCTGGGGAGCTTACTCAAGCCTCCACGGCCAGGAGCCCAGACCTCTCAGAAGAGCCTTCTCCTCGGAAACGTGGCCAGGCGTGTGTGGTGTCTGAACACCCCGCGCCCTCCGTGCATGCTTGGGGGCCGTCAGGGGAGAGTCCAGAGCCAGTGGTCGGGGGAGTCCCACCCTTCGTGTCCACTGTGGTGGGGACTTGGGGCAGGTGAATTAGACCTGGGAGAGGAGTCCACCTTTCCTCCAGCCCAGCAGGAAGTGGGGTCCGCTCTCCCCAGGCGAGTAAGGACAGCCTCGTGGGTGGCAGGTCCTGCCTCCTTCCTCTCTCTCCACCCACTGCTGCCCTCGTTAAAATAAATTTAGTCGGTTGCGTCAGCCTTAGCCCTGGTTGCTGGAGCCAGAGCAGAGTTCCCAGGGAAAGTTTCTGACGGGCTGGGCGTGTCAGACTTGCACAGTCTGTGGTCAGCAATGAGCTCTGTCTCCCCCGCCACCGACCCAGGAGCAAGGCCCCTTGCACCCCAAGCTGACGTCATGCTGTCTGGCGGCCTTGGTGACCCCAGGACAGACATGCTGGGGCCTCGCGCCGAGCTTTTGGTTGCTTCTGCCTTAGTTACAACTGTCTGTGGGGCTCGGGGTAAGTAGGAATTATGGCCTCCAGAGATGTGATTAGTCCTCAGAACGGCAGCCACAGGAAAACACAGACCTGGCCCGGCCGCTGGCACAGAAGCTGCGTTGGTTCAGACCCAAAGTTAACACCTTGGCAGCAGCGGCCGACCCCCCTGGCTGCCCGCCTGCTCCCTGCTGACTGGGGTCCTTCATCTCCGTAGGCCGCACGCCGGCCCCGAGGGCGAGGACTTCGCACCCACGGGGGAGGCGGCTGTGGACAGCTACCCCAACTGGCTCAAGTTCCACATCGGCATCAACCGGTACGAGCTGTACTCCAGGGACAGCCCTGCGGTCGATGCCCTGCTGCGGGACCTGGGCACCCAGAAGATAACCAGTGTGGGTAGGTGCCTTGCCGTGCGTGCTACGGGCGCATGATTGGCATGCGACGGGCTAGGGGCTGTGCCCGGTTGCAGCATCCCCACCGGCAGGTCCGGAGGAGGGACAGGTGGCGTCAGGCCACGGGCAGGTGAGGGGACGTGCACTCAGCCTTCCTCCGCTGAGGAGGGCACAGCTCCCCTCACCAGCAAAGAAGGGACACCTCAGGGGCTGTGCCCCTCCCTCCACGTGGGGGCTCAGGAGCACCCAGCGCTGCCTGGGTTGGGAGGCTCCCGAGCTTAGCCATGCTCTGCCCTTCCGTATGGATGGTGATCCGGGCTCCGTGGTGCAGGTGCAGCCCTGCACTCTGGTTGGCAGGCAGCCGCCCTGAGCACCTGGGGATCTGCTGAATCGGACAGAAAGGGCAGCAGTTTCTGGTTCCGGGAAAGCGTGTCAGCAGTGGTGTCTGCCGTGCGGAGGTCTGAGCCTTTGATCTCGGCCTCGACAAGGCCCAGTGTCTGCAGGGGGCTGGGCGGATCCCTGGGCGGGAGCACTGTCCTGGCGGGTGCCAGCCTAGGGCTGTGAGTGAGGTCTCCACGCTGTGCACAGGCAGCAGTCCCAGTGCTGGAAGGGCGCCCGTCGCCGGGGGCTGTCCTGTTGCTGACCGGGCAGTTAGGTGCGGCCTCTGAGACAGTCAGGTGAGCCCCACGTTCTCTGGATCTGTTCCGACTCTGCCCGGCCTGAGCTGCTTGCTAAGGGGAGGCAGCAGAGCGGCTCCTCCCAGCATGAGAGGCTCACCCTGAGCAAGCAGTGGTCTCCTTTCTTAGCGTGCTGCCTGGAGGAACCCTAGAGCCACTCCCGTGCCCAGCGCCGCCCTGCCTCCCTGCTGACCCTGCCGGTCAGGGCTCGACCTTGCTGGGCAGCAGCGAAGCAATGGTGGGGATTGTCGGGGTGCGCCTCCACCGGGTGCTCGTCCCTCTAAGAGGAGTGGCTGTTGGGGAGACGACCAGTGTCCTGTCACCTCCTCCATCTACTTCTCAGACTTCCGTGGGCGCCACCTGCATTCAGGCCCATCCTGGTGGCCCACCGTGTCTAGGGCAAATGCAGGTCAGGGTCAGGGTCAGGGCTGCGAGGGTGCAGAGGCTGGGCCACCTCAGCCTCAGAGAGCAGACACCTCCCAGCCCTCACTGGACACGCCTGGTGCAGAGGGCAGGGTTCCAAAGCCAAGGGCAGCTGCGGGGGAGAAGGGGCAGCTGTGATAGGGGCACTGCTGGGTGGGGGCACCTCCAAGGCTCACAGGAAGCTTTGCTGACCCTGGGCACCCTCCTCCTCTTATCCCTGCAGGCCCTGGCCTTGGGGTGCCCCCGCCCCAGGGTTCTGGCTGAGGGTACCCTGGGGAGAGTGAGTCCCTGCCCGTCGGGGTCCTGGGCTGTCTGAGCTGATCTACTCACCCCAACTACATGAACCAGCTGGTCCTCCCCTGTCTGTTCCTGGGGCAGTGGGTCCGTCGGAGCCGGGGCGGGTCAGTCAGGGTCACTCTGCAGGTGCTAATTGGTCCACAGGTGTCACCAATGGGACTGGGTGCCCTGCCCCCAGCAGAACATGGGTCCGGTTCTGCCAGTCGCCAGCCACAGTAGTTTGGGCACACCGGGTGGTGATAACCTGGGCCGTAACTTCCAGCTGGCAGATGTGAAATCCAAGCAGCTCATGGACAGCAAAGGCCTGGCTCAGACTGACCGTGGGGAAAGCTGGAGCCAGAGCTGATGAGATGTTGTCTCACGCGCAGTGTGGTCAGGGTGCATCTTGGCTCTGCCCAGACCCAGGCAGCTGAAATTTCCGAAATCCCGAGCACAAACACGTCTGCCTGAGAGATGGTGAAGGACTTGAATCCATGGAACATACATCACGGGGTCATCGCGAGGCCCATGAGGAAAGGATAGATGAGAACAGCTGGGCCAAGTCCCTGCGAGGCAGGTCTCGTGGAGTGATCTCTGTGCGGGGCCTGACCCCTCACCCAGGACCGCCCTGGGGAAGGGCCTCGGCCAGAAACTTGCCCCCCCCCCCCGCCGCCCCTGCTGCCTGGGCCTGGAGGTGTTCCCAGGTGGGTTCCTGTTTGTGAAAAGCCCCCTGCGCCCGAGGAAGCAGAGTCCTCCCCCTGTGAGCAGAGGGAGCAGCACCCAGGGGTCCAGAGACCAGGGTCCAGAGACCAGGGGTCCAGGCTGCCTCTGCAGGGAGCAGAGAGGAGCTGCCCAGGGCCAGTGGCAGGTGTCTTTCATGACCCCACCCTTCCTGGGAAGTCGCCCCCCCATCCACTGGACATTTGGAAAACCAAGATGCTTGAGACAAGCCCTGTCCGGGCCCTCACATAGCGGGTCTTGCCGGGCAGGTGTGGAGATGGGGTCCCCGGATGTGAGGGTGTCTGGGTGGGGGCTGCCTGCTGCTGGGGCCGCCCGGCATTGCTGTGGCCGAGGGGGCTGTGGCTTGGAGGCCCCATGGGGATCCTGGTGGCACCTCCTTTATGGGAGTCCAGAGCCTGCCGGGATTTAAGGTTTGAATCCCCGTCCTCCTGGGGAAGGACAGGAAGTGGAAGGACAGGAAGCCAGTCCCAGGGACCTCAGTGCGGGTGGAGAAAGGACCTCGGTTTAAAGATCAAGAAACCCAGCCTCTGGCTGCCGCCCTGCAGGTCGGGAAAGAGCCTCCGGGAGGGGGCGACCTGAGGATGGACATCCCTGTGTGCAGCAGGCAGTCATTCCGATCGTCCCGCATTCACGTTATTACTCCTGAACCCCGTGTTCTTTGGGGGAGTGATTCCTGTGACGTCCGTGACACTTTCTCACCCAGGACCCCCAAAGTCGCCCACGGAGAGCCACTGACCGCTTCAGAGGCTCGTGAGGCCCGTGGGCTGTGTTCGTGGCCAGGCTCCTGGCTCCAGGCAGCATGGCCGCCTTCGAAGGCTCAAGACATCGTCTCTGTTCAGCTTGGACTTGGCGTGCAGCACCTCCCGTCAGCGCGAAAGAAATCGCCGCCCTGCATGGGCACGGATGCGAAGGATTAATGACACAGTTAATGCTCTGATCTTGGAATGACGTAGAAAGGAGAAGCCGCGTGGCCGGAGGGGACTGGAGCGGCCTCTTGCTGGAAATGCCGATGGGTCAGGACAAGCCCTCGCTGGTCCCTGACCATGGAGAATGCCCCCCAGTCCTGGGCGCTGGTGGAGGCAGCGGAGTCAGGGCTAAACGGCTAGAGGAATGGGCTGTGTCGGGGACAGCTGCTGCCCTGGGTGCCTCCTTCCAGCACCAGGCAGGCCACAGGACGCCTCCAGTCCCCAGTGAAAGGCTGCCGTGAGCCCTGGGGCCTAGAGCCAGACCCCCCAGGCCCAGCGCGGAGGCCCGTAGATCGTCCGCGAGGTGACTGAGCTGAACATGGAGAAGGCAGCAACTAGCGGAGCCCCTCAGCGCCCTCCAGCCTCTGGTACACAGTCAAGAACAAATGCCCAGCCTGGCCGGCATTGGCCCAGGGGTTGAGCATTGACTTATGAACCAGGAGGTCATGGTTCGATTCCTGGTCAGGGCACATGCCCAGGTTGGGGGCTTGATTCCCAGTGAGGGGCAAGCAGGAGGCAGCTGATCCTTGATTCTCACTCATTGATGTTTCTGTCTCTCTCCCTCTCCTATCCTCTCTTAAATAAACACAAATACGTTTAAAACAACAAAAAGAACAAAAAAACCCTGACGGCGCTGACCGGGCGTCCCCGCCCTGCACCTGCTCGCTCCGTTAGCGCAGACGGCAGCTGTGGCCCTGAACGCAGCAGGAGGGTGGGGGTGGGGGTGGGGGTGGGGGTGGAAGGGGGGGTGTTCTAGTTGTTCCTCGGATCCAGGGAGGAACTGGTTTCCACCCGGCAGTGCTCTCAGTTTCCTTTAGGTAAAAAGTTTTTAGAACAACAGTAAGACACCTTCCAGGAAAGTGGACGCCAGATGGCAGTGATTTCGGCTCCGCCTTCCAAGGGGCGGTGGTGCCTAAAGTCAGCAGCACTGGCAGGTCCAGGTTGGTTAGTGGTCACTGCACCTCGGTGCCGGTGAGCCATGAATTGCAAAGCATCGTGAGACCTATGAATGCGTATTAATATGTACCATTAATGATGTGTGTTGATGACCATCAATCCATGTTAATTGCTAACGTGTTGCACGCGGTTGGGGATGTGACCTGAGGGTTACCAGGAATGACTGTGCTGGACGGATGGTCCGAGGCCAAAGGACTGGAGAGCAGGGCGCACACAGGAGCAACGCGAAGGGGTGGCTGAGGGTGGGTGAGGAAGAGCCGGCCTGGATGCCCGGGTGCCCTGTTTGCTGGCAGCTGGATGGAGGCTGGGAGATGAAGAGCAGGTAGCAGGTGATGAGGAGTGGTCAGCAAGAGCGACTGCTTGGGCCATGGCTGTGGGATGTGCCTGGCCTGTCCTTGGGGGGCCCTTCAGTCCCCAGGGCTGAGACCGCTGTCCACGGGGCCCTGGAGCCCACCCCTGTGAGGGCCCTCGCAGCTCCGCCCCCGGCCTTTGCCCGCACATCTGGCTCCCTCTGGCATTGGCCTCTGCTCTCCAGGACAAGGTTTCCTGAAGTCACCAGACCCCCCAGGTCTGTCTGCAAGAGGAAACCCCAAACCCACCCACCCATCCTCCTCACACCAGTCTGTGCCCAGCTCCGCTGCTGTGGCCCTCAGCCCAGCCACCTCCCGGGGCCCAACCTGCCAGGGAGAGCGGGCTGCCCATCTGGGCACAGGCTCCTGGGCACCTGTCTCTGCCCAGCCAGCCTTTGCCAGGACACCAGGCAGTGAGGTGTGGTTTGTAGGGAGACAATACCTGATTTCAGAGCAGAATTTGAAATGTCTTTCCTCGTGGCCCTAGCATGGCCACGTAAGAGGTGGATGCCATGGAAAGGCAGCCCCAAAGGAGAGGAAGGTGGTGTTCGGGATGGGGTGATGGCCGGCATTTCTGGAGTCCTCAGTGGAGTCGAACGCCTTTTAACTTCTAACTAGTGTCCTGGAGTATGGGTTCATGCACATTGAAAGGAAATTAATTAGAAGGAATATTTTAACTTTACTACTCGCCCTTTCTCTATAATAGAAGTGTCAACCAAATTCATGATCAACAATGACAGATCGAAAAAAACCTCAGTGTCTGGGAGTAGGTGTGAGTAGGTGTGTGTGGGTGTCAGGTGTGAGGGGTGTGTCTGGGGCAGGCGGCACTGCTGGCAGGTGTGTGCACCAGCCATTCCAGAAGCTGGTCCCTCTGTCTGTGGGTTGGCCTGGAGAGAGGTTCTGCCCGACATCTGAATGGGGAGGAGGGCATGTCGGCATGAGGAACCCCAAACTTCCAGGCAGAACGGGGGCCCAGGCCGTGCCCAAGGCCCGGGCTGTGAGGTCTGTGTGGGGAGCAGAGGGCTGGGCAGCAGGTGACCCTGTATCTTTGCTTCCCTGCAGCCATGAAGTCGGGGGGCACTCAGCTCAAGCTCATCATGACGTTCCAGAACTACGGGCAAGCCCTATTCAAGCCCATGAAGTAAGTGTGGGCACCGGTGGCAATGGGGCGCGAGCGGGAGGGGACATGAGGTGCAGAGGGGGTGTAGAGGGGGTGCAGAGGGGGCACGAGGTGCAGGGGGTGCAGAGGGGGCACGAGGTGCAGAGGGGGTGTACAGGGGGTGCAGAGGGGGTGTATAGGGGGTGCAGAGGGGGCACGAGGTGCAGAGGGGGTGTACAGGGGGTGCAGAGGGGGTGTACAGGGGGTGCAGAGGGGGCACGAGGTGCAGAGGAAGTGTACAGGGGGTGCAGAGGGGGTGTATAGGGGGTGCAGAGGGGGTGTACACGGGGTGCAGAGGGGGTGTACACAGGGTGCAGAGGGGGCACGAGGTGCAGAGGGATTGTACAGGGGGTGCAGAGGGGGTGTATAGGGGGTGCAGAGGGGGCACGAGGTGCAGAGGGAGTGTACAGGGGGTGCAGAGGGGGTGTATAGGGGGTGAAGAGGGGGCACGAGGTGCAGAGGGGGTGCGGAGGGGTGCAGAGGGGGCACGAGGTGCAGCAGGGGTGTGGAGGGGTGCAGAGTGGAACTGGGCTGGGCTGGGGCTGTCCACAGGCACCAGGGTTGGTGGAAGGTGCACTGTATCCTCCTGTAGTGTTTTGGGATGACCTCAGCGACTGCTCCCGGCTTTCTCCCCACTGCCTGCTGTCCCACCCTCATCCCTGTTGCCCAGCGGGAAACCCACTGCTGCTCCTTCTGCCCCTTGGAGGCAGGACCCTAGTCCCGCACGCCTCAGGGTCAGCAGTGCCATGTAGGGCCAGGGTGAGCGAGTTGGGGTTTGCAGGCCACATGGTCTGTGTCCAGCCGCTCGGCGCTGCCCGTCCCGAAGGGCCTGGCTGTGCTCCAGCTTCAGCTGTCGCCCCATGGCTGTGGCTTATCCTGCTCCCGGAAATGGGACCACTGCCACCATGTGAACGTGGGCACCGAACGGCCCTGCAGACCTGTGGCCACCTGGCCGCCCCAAGGGGACCCATTAAACGGTTAAATCCACGACAAACAGTCTAATGAACAACTGCCTTTTGTGACTGTATCCTTGTAAACTTGGCAGAATGCTCTGAACCACTTGGATTAGGAGAGGTGGAGCGTGGGGTCTGGGATGTGTAGTTGGTGTGACTTGTGGCTGACGTGAAAGCTTAAGGGATATATACATCCAGGAGAAGTGAGGGTATTTTCCCATTGATTTTTTTTTAAATAGCAGAAGGGAGGGGGAGAGAGAGAAACATTGATGTGAGAAAATCACATTGCCTGGTTGCCTCCCACAGGCACTCCAACTGGGGGGCTAGGACCGGACCTGCAACCCAGGTACATGCTTTGACTGGGAATCAAACCCAAGGCCCTCTGGTGCTCAGTTTGAAGATCCAACAACTGAGCCATGCTGGCCGGGTGGATCATATATTTTTAATAGGCACCGAGAAGCTTATAATTAACACCTTAGCCCAGGAGTTCCTAAATATTATAAGATTTTTTTAATAGCTTTATCAAGATACTATGGGCCCAGTGCACGAATTCCTGCACCTTGAAAGGAACTGTGGGCCTCAAGGTCTCCGCCCATCCTCTGTGCCCCACCCTGGTGCCCGGTCTCTTGTCTGCCAGCAGCCCTGCTCCCACCGCGCTGCTCCCACAGGCTGACAGCACCAGCCCCGCTCACACCCACTGATGGCGGAGCGATTGGGGCTGGGCCAGCAGCGGCTGCTGCCTCTATCTCCCCTCAGGAGCAGGGGGAGGTGGAGAAGCCCTCAGGGGCAATCGGGACCAGCAGCCACTAGTGGTTTGTAGTGCTCTCTAATGGCTTCTCTCCCTCGAGGCTCCTTGAATTGTGGCAATTGCCAGGCCCTAGCTCCTATTTCTTAAAAATATTTATTTTTATTGATTTCAGAGAAGGGAGAGGGAGAGATAGAAACATCCATGATTAGAGAGAATCATGGATCGGCTGCCTCCTGCACGCCCCCTACTGGGGATCGAGCCCGCAACCTGGGGAGTTAAACTGTGACCTCCTGGTTCATAGGTCGATGCTTAACCACTGAGCCATGCCCGCCGGGCCTGAAGCCTTTTTAAGGTGGAACAGTATTCCATCGTGTGGCCGGGTCACAGTTCATACCTCTGCCCCAAGGGCACTTGGGCTCTTCCCACTGGTTGGCCTTAAAAATAACGCTGCTGGGAACATCCACATACCAGGTTTGGGTGGACGTGTGTTGTCATTTCTTCTGAGTAAATGCCCGGGAAGGCAAGCGCCGGGCATGTAATAGCTACCTTGACCTGCTCAGAACTGCGGCTGCCCTCCACAGCAGTTACCAGCCCTAGCTCCGGAGACACTGGTGATTACTGAGCCCTGATTCCAGCCATCCCAGCGGGCGGGGCGTCTGTGGGCTGCCTGGCGTCTCCAACGGCGATGACGACGTGCAGTGCTTCCATGCCATGGTGCCGTCTCTGTCTTCTTTGCAGAACCGTCTGTTGAGGTCTCTTTTTCTTAGTTGTTGTTAAGCGGCTGTGAGAGTTCGTCATGTATTTCAGACACCTGTGTGCTGTCCTTTCTAATTTTCAGGATGTCCATTTACCTATTTTGTTGTTCCTTGTGATTTTGGTGTAACATTTAACACACCAGTTTTGATATTGAAAAATAGGTAGCAGTGCAGGCACCGTGTGTAAGTGTGTATCTGTATGTAACAGTGCAGGCGCCGTGTATAAGTGTGTATCTGTAGATAGTGGCGCAGGTGCCATGTATAAAAGTGTATCTGTAGATAGCGGCTCATGTGTCGTGTGTAAGCATGTACCTGTAGGTAGTGGTGCAGGTGCTTTGTGTAAGCGTGTGTCTGTAGGTAGTGGCACAGGTGCCGTGTGTAAGTGTGTGTCTGTAGGTAATGGTGCAGGTGCCATGTATAAGCGTGTGTCTGTAGGTAGTGGCGCAGGTGCCGTGTGTAAGTGTGTGTCTGTAGGTAGTGGTGCAGGTGCCATGTATAAGCGTGTGTCTGTAGGTAGTGGCGCAGGTGCCGTGTGTAAGTGTGTGTCTGTAGGTAGTGGTGCAGGTGCCATGTATAAGCGTGTGTCTGTAGGTAGTGGCGCAGGTGTTGTGTGTAAGCATGTGCCCGTAGGTAGCAGGGCAGGTGACTGTGTGGCTGTCCTTTGGTATGGTGTCCCCGCCAAGTGCGGGGGCCAGGCAGCCTTTCTGTGGCCTTGGGTCCAAGTCTTTTGCGTACCGACATGTGCTGGCGGCCGGTGGCCACAGAGGGCATGTGGCTGCCTAGTGCCTGCCCCTCCTTCCCTCCTTTTCCTTCCGAACTCAGGCCGCTCTGCTGGTTGTGACCCTGCACGCACACCACCCCTCGAGCTGCTTCCGGGCTCCATGTTGTTGTCAGGACTGGGCGGCGGCTGCTCCGGGCGTGGCAGGTGGCGGGGCTGGTGGCTCCTCAAGTCACCGACCTTCCCTGTCACAGAGCAGGTTTCACAACCTCCTCTCCTGCCCTCTCCTTCCAGGGGGAGACACGGGTCAGAGAGTGACATAAACGAGGAGTGGGCACAGACCTTGGGCCCTCACCTGGCACAGGGGCCTAAATATTCCGGTTGCCTCCTGTTTGCTGTTTGTGGTGCACCGGGTGGGGCTCCAGCCCAGCGTGCCCGGTCCACCTTGACCTGGTTCTCTGCCGGGCCCGGCCCAGTGGCTAAGGCTGGGATTCCGCCGGGCGTGTGTGTGTGTGTGTGTGTGTGTGTGTGTGTGTGTGACATGTGTGTGCCTGTGCATGTGCACATGTGTGTATGTGTGTGTGCATTTCAGAGATAAACCATCTCTGGCAGCTGTCTGGAGGCCAGCCCTGGGACACAGATGCATAAGCGGCTGCAGAAACCTTGTGGGGAAGATGCTTCTAAATCAGAAATGTGAGCCCCTCCTGCTCTGACCAGAGCACAGCAAGGAGGAGGTGGAGGCGCAGGCGGAGAGCGGGCAACTCGGGATGCCGGTTCTGGTCCTGTGCTCACGTGCGGGCGCTCAGAGCTCAGGGGCGGGAGGACAGACGTGGCACGAGAGAAGCAGGACTCAGGTGAGGCTGCCCGGGGCCGGATGGGAGGAAGGCGCTCTGGACGCTTGGTGGCCCCGGAGATCGTGGAGCTGGTGTTGCCCAGTGGGTAGGAATCGTCTCCGGGCAGGAAGGCTTTGGCACAGGATCCACACGGGAAGCGGGAGGCAGTGTGGGTGAGAGGCCCGGGGTGGCGCTGTTAGGAGTGGGCACATATTCGAGTTGTTCTGATAAATAACTAGTTTCTCTGCTCTGCGGCCCTCACTCAGCCCAGAGGCAAACACATTGCCCAACAGCCTGTCACAGGGTGTGGAGCCCGCGGCGGCCGGGCCTGGCCGGAGGTGGACAAGGACCCTTTTGTGTCCACACTCAGCTCGGGCCGGCCTCCAAGCCCCCACCCGCCTGACTCAGGAGCTCAGTGTCCTCGTGGGGCCCGTGCCAGGTTCCTCGGCCAGACCTCGTGCGCTCATAGGAAGCTCCCGAGCCGTGCCCCCCGGCCGGCAGTGCTTGGGTCAGAGCTGTGGGCCCGGCCGAGATGGGCCTCCCCTTACACTTTCTGGCACGCGGGTTCATCCCTGGCACGGTCATCAGTGGCCACTCAGACCTGGCGTGACATCAAGCACTCAGAGTGACCAGGCCCCAGGAGGAGCTTCCATTCTCAGTGAGTCGGCAGCCATGCACACAGATAAACACACGTGTCAGCAGCTGAGTCCTGGAGGGGATTCAGGCAGAGGTGTCCTGGGCCTGGCAAGGCCTCTGGCTGGGCCCCAGTCCGCAGAGGAGGGGGGGAGTGGCCACGTGGAGCCCCACCCACACCCAGCAAACAGGCTCACTTACCCCCAGACTCCCAGCTGTGGGACACGGCTTGTCTACACATTCATGGGTCATTTTTTCAGAAGAAACTGGACTTTTTCATTGAGAAACAAATCAACGGCCTGTCACAGCCTTGGACAGTGACCCCTGAGCCTCCCGCACTCAGCAGCAGGCTGGCCGATGACCCTCGCGCCCCTGCCTCCTGCCCCCTGCCCCCTGCCCCCTGCCCCCTGCCTGGCATCCGCCCTGAGTCCTCCACCGCGAGGACCAGCTGCACCACAGGAGCTTGAGGAGGCGCGAGCAGGAGCAGCAAAGTGGGGCAGAGGCTCGCCGGCTCCGGGGCTGCTGCTGGGGGACAGCATGGCAGAGCCTTCGTGGGGGTCCTCTCCCCTTCGCTCCTGGGGCCATGCAGACCTTCCCTGGGATCCAGGTGCCCCCCTTCAGCACGCAGCTTGCTGTGCCTGCCAGCTGAGCTCTCAGCACCCAGAGGAAGTGCATTCACATGTAAATAAAACGATGCACCCCAGGGCTTAGGGACAGCAGAGCCCTGTGCCCTCAGGCCTCTGGGGAAGGCTCACTCGCTTCTCTTTAACTTCACTCCTGAGTCGCTCCCGCAGAGGGTGTTGGGAGCCTGGTGCCCGTGGCTGAAGCAGGGCCTTGCCGGGCCTCTGGGCTGAGCCCTCCGGCTGGCCGTCTCCCTGCCTGGGGGTGGGGCCATGTCAGGTGGCGAGGACTCAGGAAGGCAGTCACGGAACTGCTCAGTGGGCATGCCGCTCCTGGCAGGAGCCAGATAACATCGGCTTTTATTCCCCTCAGGCCTTGGGAGCATGCTGCCAGTTTCCTCTTGTTTTTCTTTTTCTTTTTCTTTTTCTTTTTTGTTAATCTTCACCCAAGGATGTTTTTCCATTGATTTTTAGAAAGAGTGGAAAGGAGGGGGAGAGACAGAAAGAAACATTGATGTGAGAGAGACACATCGATGTGAGAGACACACATGCCTCCCACATGCACCCTGACCAGGGCAAGGACAAAGCCTGCATCCGAGGTACATGCCCTTGACCATAATCGAACCCAAGACCCTTTAGTCCCAGGCCAATGCTCTAACCACAGAGCAACCTGTCAGGGCCATTTCCTCTGTTTTTAACACAAATGTGAGTTCTGAGGTTTGCACAGATTCAAAGACATTGAAATGTTGACAGTAACGGTGGGGACTGTGTGGGGGGTGACATATGGAAGGTTGAGGGGCTGGTGAGTGCGGGGCCTAGCTGTTGGGGCTCTGTGGTGACCGTCCTCCCACGGAGCCCGGTCATTCACGGGTCCCCCCACAGAGCAGGGCCTCTCTCTGACCCAAGACTGAACCTGTGGCCAGACCCGGCCCTTCCTGTGCCCCCTGAGCTGGCGGCCGGCACTTCAGGCCACGCATGCCCAGCTCTGGGCCGTGGAGCCTGTGCTGCTCAGAGACTAGGATCCTCACCTGCAGCATCGTCGGGGAAAACACTTTGGAAAAGTACTGAACCCACTTCAGAGCAGGAGCGCAGACCTGGGTCAAAGAAACCTGCTCCTACCGGGACCTGCATGTCCATCCTCTGGTTCTGCACACACGCCTTCCTCTTTCTCCACCTCCGACCTCTGTGTCGTAAGGCAGGGGCCTGGGTCAGAACCAGAGGGCCCCAGGCCTGATCGTGCAGCCAGGGATGGCCCAGCATCTACCAGGTGCTGCCTCTGGCTTCTGTGGAAACAGGTACTTCCCCACAAGACCCTGTCATTTCTTAGATGTGATGCGTTTCCTGTGAGGTGACGTGCCCAGAGCTGGAGGAAACAGATTGAGGTCACACGCTTCCCCAGGCTGCCTCAGGCACCAGCCTTGCGGGCATCCGTCAGCAGCCACAGGGAACCAGCAGCGAGTCTTTGGCACGAAGGGCAGCTCCTCATTGTCTCGGAGGGAAGACGCTGACTTGGGGCCCTGGGCTCCTGGGTGCTGCTCCAGGAAATGTTTGTCTAGCCTCTGGTCTCCCTGCTACGCCGGGCAAGTGCCAGCTCGGAGCTCCGCCGACCCCAGCGCCTGGCACCACCTCCCCCGTATCCATCCCCCCTCCCCAAGGAGAAGCCCTGCTGGGCGGACCATGCCCTGGGCCGGCCTGTCTTCCGCACCTGGGCACACCTTCAGCCAGGACACCTGGCGGAAGGAGTGGTTGCCAGGTTACCAGGATCAGCCAAGTCCAGTCTCCTGCCCAGGGCAGTGGGTTCAGTACTTTTCCAAAGTGTTTTCCCCGACGGCAGAGTTGGCGACGCACCACCTGGTCCAAGGGCGGCCCGGGAGGTGGGGGTGAGGGGGGTATGGACACCCCACGTGTCCCCATGAGTCCCTGCTCGGAAGCTGGGCCCTGAGTTCCCCGGCATGGATGGACGCAGGGACAGCTGCCGGAGCTGAGCAGAGAGCGCGTGGAGGCCGACACTGTGGGGGACGCTCCTGGGGGCTGCTTCCTTCCTTCCTTCCTTCCTTCCTTCCTTCCTTCCTTCCTTCCTTCCTTCCTTCCTTCCTTCCTTCCTTCCTTCCTTCCCTGCAGGACATGCTACAAGTGTGCACGACCCTTGTCAGCGCCCCCCCTCCCCGACTGGGCCTTACAAATCCGTCCCAGCCTTTCCTCCTTGCTGCTCCCCAAATGAGTGTGTGTGTGTGTAGAGGGAGAGGGGGGGACTGACTCTGAGGACAGGAAGGGCCGTACCAGCCAGCCACACCCCAGAGCCCTGCCTGAGCATCTTGTGAGGATGAGATGAGAAATGATGTGTTTTACAACTGGGAAACGGGCGAAGAAGGTAGGGTGCTCACCCCAACCTTCTTGCTGGAAGCAGGCCTGCCCACCCGGCCTCTGCTCTCACCCATGGGTGTCTGCCAAAACAGGATGGGAGGCTGACCAGGGTCCAACCTGTGTGCGTCCTCCCCTTGGGTGTTCCTCAGCTCAGCTCTGGGGGCCTCACAGGGTAACGTGGGTCCCTGTCCCAAGGAGCTCCCAGTCTGAGAAGTCTTCAAACCACGCACAAGCTTCCTATGGGGTGGAATGTGCTCAGCAAGCTGGGAACCTAGAGCACCTCATGGCCCCTGTAGTGAAGGCAGACAGAAAAGCATTCACAGCCACTTCTTTGCACTTCGGGGCCTTTCGGGAAAGGGGCACTGGGAAGCCAGAACAGCCGGCCAGCCGCCCGTGTAGCCTTGGGGCTGGGACAGAGCTGCCTTTCTGGGAACTGCCCAGGACGGAAGGAAGCCCCGAGGCAGGAGGAGGGAGGCAACCAGGAACTTTCCTGGAACCTGGTCACAGGCATAAGAAGTGGCTGCACTCTTCCCAGCAACAGAGCTCAGAGCCACCTGCCATCCAGGTTGTGGCTCCTCAGAGGGAGGCAGGAACAAAGGTCAAAGCATTGCCAGATAGAAATGCTCGCTTTTTAGCATCACAGATGTTGCCACTGCACATCAGGCAATAAGAGGTCAATGTGTGTTAGGGGTGTTAGGGACGATGGCCATGGAGGTAATGAGGGTGGTTGTAATGGTGGTGGTGGTGATGGTGATGGTGATGATGATGGTGATAGTGATCGTGGTAATTGATGATGGTGATGATGGTAATGGTGATAGTGATGGTGATGGTGACGATGATGATGGTGGTGATGATGATGATGGTGGTGATGATGATAGTGGAGGTAGTGGTAATGATGGAAATTGAAGAAATAACAGTGAAAAGAGCTAGACATTGTAAATAGGCTTATGCCTCTTCCCTGTGCTTCTTCATCAGTCCCTCCTCTGTGCATCTGCTTATTACACACCTGATGGACAGCAGGTGTTGGCTGGCACTCCTGCCCGGCGCTCCATGCAGTGGTCTAATGCAATGGTGCCAAGCTCCTCAGAGGAGAAGCTTCTCGCTGGCTGCCAGGAAGGCACGAGGGTCAAGGCAGGGCTGAGGGGGTGCAGGGCCCAGCACAGGCAGCGTGTAGAGACGGGCAAGGCTGCTGAGGGTTCGTGACACCAGTGCGGCAGGGGGCAGGAGAAGGCAGGGTGGGGGTCACCAGGAGTATCTGACAGTCCTGGGTCGGGGAGGGACCAAGGAGCGGGTGAGAAGGAGTGATGGTGGGGAGCCGGGCCCCAGAGCCCAGTTAGAGCGTAGGAGCAGCACGCGCCCTCCCCAGAGTTTCTCAGTGTCTGTTCTGTTTTGTCCCCTTTTTCCAGGCAAACGAGAGAGCAGGAGACACCCCCTGACTTTTTCTATTTCTCGGACTACGAGAGGCACAATGCGGAGATCGCTGCCTTCCACCTGGACAGGTGAGCTGCCCCACCTGCACCCGCATCCAGAGGGAGCACGGGCACTGTGGGCATCCGATTGCTCACGCTCAGAACCACGCCTCTCCCAGGAGAGAGTACTCCCTGCCCTCAGGTCACAGCCCAGGTGGACGTGCTCCTTCCCACACCAGAACAGCGCTGGTCTGGTGCCATGGTGCCAAGCTCCTGGGTGGGGGGGGGGGGGCGGTGGGCACCGGGAAGAGGGAAGGAGGAAGAGGGAAGAGGGAGGGGGAGGGGCGCCGGGAGCTGAGTGATGCACAAGGAATTGCAGGTGTGCGTGTGTCTGGGAGGTGAGATGGGATGAGGGACCACGTCTCACAGCAGCCCCCTGCGGGGTCACCTGTCCTGGGGGCAGCCTCCTCCGCAGCACGGGTTCCTCTGGGCTCCACGTGGCCCCTGGCTGCAGGGAGCTGGACAGGCGGCCAATGTAGGGCCATGTGGGATGGACGATCAGTGCCCCCAGGGGCAACTCGTGGTCCTGGCTTTGGGGTCAGCCACAGGGTCCAGAGGATCTCCCCTCCCCAGTCCTCTGGAGCACCAGCGTGACGACACCCAGGCTGGTGACAACGCAGAATCCTCTGCAGACCAGGTGGACACCTGGGCCCGAGGCAGAGACAGACATATTCCCTCGGTGCCCCCTGGGGCAGCCACGGGCACAGACAACACCCCCCTGTGCCCTTCCCGCAGGATCCTGGACTTCCGCCGTGTGCCCCCTGTGGCCGGCAGGATGGTCAACATGACCCGGGAGATCCGGGACGTCACGCGGGACAAGAAGCTGTGGAGAACCTTCTTCATCTCCCCAGGTACGTGCCCGGGAAGCCCGGCTGGCTGCATGGGACGGCTCCGTGCCCGTGACAGGCTGTGCCGAGGACGGCCTCCAGCCGGCAGTGCCCTCTGACCCCACCTGGGCCCTTCCCCGTGCTTTCCTGTTCCATCTGCCTTCTGGCAGGCATAGCGGTGACATCTGCCACATGCTTTGTTCAAAGGCAGAAGGAATTTGTTCTGGAAAAGCCCCCGGCTCCCGAAATCTCCTCCCCATATTGCAGCCAGGGGCCAGGCCGGGCCACTCCTGGGACACCTGTCTCCACTGCCCAGGCTGTGTGGCTGCTCCTGGCCACTTCCTTGTGCGATTTTTATTGCGATGTTTCTAGTGACACATTTTAAAGTTTCACAACTTAAGGCAGTAACATCAGTTCCGTGTGGCGTCCCTTAGTTCAGCCGTTGGCCTCTTCCTTCCCCGGCAGCCGTGGTCTCTGTTCCGTTGGCCTCTCACCTCAGATGCACTGGGGCTGTCCCAGGGTCGGCCGAGAAGGGTCAGAGGTGCCGAGAATGTGCCGTGGGTGTTGGGTTCAGGGTGCTCGGGCTCTGGCTCCCACGTTTCCACACACCCCAGGCCCCTGAGTTTCTCCACAAAGTGATGAGTCATGAGCACGGCCCGTGAGGGAATACACAGGCTAGTGGGCGCGGTCAGCAAGATCAGAGATGCTACGCCGAGAGCTGTGGCAGCGAGCGGGTCTGGGCAACAAGCCAAGTGCAGTTTCTAAATGACTTGTCTTTACTGAGACATGAGAGGCCTGGTGCACGGGTCCATGCACCGGTGGGGGCCCTCGGCCTGGCCTGTGCCCTCTCGCAATCCAGAGTCCCTCTGGGGATGTCGGACTGTCCGTTTCGGCCCAGTCCCTGCAGACCAGTCTGAGATACCCTGCCAAATCCATGCACCAGGCCTCTAGTATGCATATAGATCTTTAGTTAATCTCTTCTCCCTTTCCCCCTCCCCCTTTCCCTCTGAAATTCATCAGTCTGTTTCTTGTTCCCATGCCTGTGCATTGAGCATCTGCCCCCTGGTGGTGAGTGCATGTCATAGCTACCAGTTGAACGGTTGCTTAGGCTTTTATATATATAGATGATTCACATGTTGTAAACTTCTCCATTTTGAAGTGCACCATTCAGAGGTTTTTAAAACATTCACTGTGTTGTACACCATCCCTACAATCCAGTTTTAGACTGTTTCCCTCCCTCGGAAGGAAGCCCTGCCTGTCACCTCAGCTGCCCCCTCCCCCCATCAGTATTTCTGGATCTGCTTGTCCTGGACATTTCACATAAATAGTCACACAATGTGCGGCCCCTCTGCGTCTGACTTCGCTTGCTGGGTCCCATGCATTCCAGTTCATTCACGTGTACTGAGTGTGTGAGCCTCACCCCTTATAAGGTCCCGGCTCACTGACTGGGATGTCCACAGGCTCTGGTCCCTTAGTGGTGAAGGTGCCCGGAGAAACCTGGATTCAGATCCTCACGCACACACAGCTGCGTGGCCTCAGCATGTGGTGCAGGTGTGAGGTCACCTGCTGCTCCATGGCGTGGATGGACAACCTGTGTATATCCGATCATCACGTGATGGACGTGGTGTGTTTCCAGTCTACGCTGCTGGGAAAAGAGCTGCCATGGATGCCAGCTACATGCTGTGTGCATGCCTGTGTTCACTTCTCGGGGCGTGTGCCCGGGGGTGGCAATGCTAGATCTGGTGGGTACTCCGTGTCTCACGTTTTGAGGAAACATACTACTGCGTTCCCAGCGGCTGCTCTGTTTCATGTTCCCACCAGCCCCGTGTCAGGTGCTAATGTCTCCACGTCCCAGGATGCCTGTTACCTGTTCTGATGGTCACTGGGATCGCGTGGGTGTGAAGTGGGCCTCACTGCGTGGACATGATTGGTTTCTCTAGTGGCCGATGCTGAGATCTCCCGTCTCGCTGGCCATCTGTGGGTCTTCTTTGGAGAAACACCCACTGAACTCCTTGGTCCACAGATTAATTGGGTTATTTTTCGTTTTAATGTCGAGCTGCACGAGTTATTTGTATGTGATAAATACTAGGTCCTGATCCGATGTGTGGTTTGCAAACATTCTCCCCGCTCCGGGGACTGTCCCCTCACGTTCTCAATAGTACGAATGCCTTTTTAAGCTCTTGAACATGGACTGCAGGATTCCCATTCACTCCAGTCCCTCAGTGTTGAGGGTGAGCAGAAAGAACCGGGTTCAGACCCTAACTCACGCTCACAGCTGTGTGGCCTCGGGCAGGTGTGCTGCCCTCTCTGAGCCTCCTTTTCTGTAACCCGGGGTTGGAGGGTTTGCTGAGATGCACCTGAGAGTGCAGGGGAGGCCCGGCTCCCGGGACCCACTAACCAGCACTCTCTGCCGCCAGCCAACAACGTGTGCTTCTACGGGGAGTGCTCCTACTACTGCTCCACGGAGCACGCCCTGTGCGGGAAGCCGGACCAGATCGAGGGCTCGCTGGCGGCCTTCCTGCCGGACCTGTCCCTGGCCAAGAGGAAGACGTGGCGGAACCCGTGGCGACGCTCGTACCACAAACGCAAGAAGGCGGAGTGAGTGTGGGCGGAGCGTGGCCGTGGCAGCCCTGGGCCAGGCCCCCGGGAGGGCTTGCTGCTCTCCACTGGCAGCAGGAAGACAAGCTCAGAGGGGCCGGGCTTCTGCCCATGTGTGATGGCCACTGCGTGCTGGGTGGTCGGGAGGGGCGTCCTTCCTCAGAATGAGCTGTGGCCTCTGGGGCTCTGGAACCACGGCCCTCAGTGTCCAGACATGGCGTCCGTCCCTCCTGCTCCGCTTGTCCTGCTGGAGAGACATCCTGTCTTCTTAGCCACCGAGGCCTGTGGGTGAGGTGCCCAGGCTCTTTCTAAGAGTGCCCTCCAGAAGCCTGGCACCTGGGCCGAGGTCATCTCTGGGGCGGCCAATCCAGGGGGGTGGTGTGGCATCATCACCTCCCTGCCGCCGCCTGTGAGACAGCCTCAGCCTGGGGGGGAAAGGGGGTCAGTCGAAGATGCTTCGTTTTGTAGTGACATCATTCCTCCAAGCCCAGCCTTTGTGGGCCCCTCCGCCCCAAGCCGGGCGCTGCTCACACGGGCTCCCTGCAGGTGGGAAGTGGACCCCGACTACTGCACCGCGGTGAAGCAGACACCCCCATACGACCGCAGCCACCGCATCCTGGACATCATGGACATGACCATCTTTGACTTCCTCATGGGTGCGTCCCGCCACGGGCTGTCCAGGCTGTCCGTCCACCCCCGGACGATGCCCAGAGCTGTGGGCTGGGCCGCGGGGACGCTGCTGCTCGTGCTGAGGGTGTGGGGTCGGCTGTGTGGGGGGAGGGGGGGAGGCCACCTCGGAGCCGCGGCGGACGTGACCTAGCTGCTCTCCTCCGCAGGGAACATGGACCGCCATCACTATGAGACTTTTGAGAAGTTTGGGAACGACACCTTCATCGTCCACCTGGACAACGGGAGAGGGTGAGGCTGCCACCTCCGCCTCCCGCCTCCTGCCCCGCCCCCGGAGCCCCGCCTCCTGGACACCCCCCACCCCCGCCTCCTGGAGCCCCGCCTGATGGAGGGACCGGCCCTCCCAAGGCCCACTCTGAGGAGGCCTGTGGGCAGGAGGGTGTATGATGTCACCCTATCTCACCTGCTTCTCCATTAGCTGGCTCTGCTCTACCACATATTGTCCTGGGGAAACTGAGGCCCCAAGAGATCTGGCCACCAGGGCAGGGCTGTGAGGAGCAGCCAGGCGTCTGCTCAGCACGTAGGAACCGGGGGCGGCAGCGGCGACATCGGCTCTCCCCGGTCGGGGCTGTGAGAGGCAGTCCCTGGTGCACGGGGAGGGGTGTGCCGTGGGGACCCCAGTTCAGGTGGCTAGGGCCATGTGTGCCTGATGCCTCAGAGCAGCCAGCTTTGGGCACCTGGAGGTCCAAATGGGGGCCGTGTGTTCTCAGCTGTAATGGGGTGCTGTTGTGTGGACCCGGCTGACCTCCCGCCGACCACTCAGCCTGCCTAGGACCTGGGGCTCGCTGCCCAAAAGGCAGGTTCCTGCCGCCTCGGCTCTGTGTCAGCTCACCCCAGCTCCTGTCCCCGTGGCTGCTGGGGCCACAGGCTCTGCACACGGCCTCCTGCGGCCGCCCTGGACAATCTGCTTTCCTTCCTGCAGGTTTGGAAAATACTCCCATGACGAGCTTTCCATTCTGGTTCCTTTACAGCAGTGCTGCAGGTACGGCCCTCCGCCCTGTGCAGCCCGGTGTGCTGGGCCAGGGGGCCTCTGTCCCCATGAGCAGGCTGTCCCGCTTCCCTGGCGTCTGCCTGGGTGATGGGTGCCTGCAGGGCCCACAGGACCACCTGTCTCCTGGTTGTGCCTCTGGGAGGCAGGCCACGCGCTGAGGGCTGGGGAGGCCCCTGCCCTGGGCCGTCCCCGCCTGAGGTCTCCCTCCTCCCACAGAATCCGCAAGTCCACCTACCTGCGGCTGCAGCTGCTGGCCAGGGAGGAGTACAAGCTGAGCCTGCTGATGGCCGAGTCCCTGCGGCAGGACCGGGTGGCGCCCGTGCTGTTCCAGCCGCACCTGCAGGCCCTGGACCGGCGGCTGCGCCTGGTGCTGCAGGCCGTGGGCACCTGCGTGGAGAAGGACGGGCTGGGCCACGTGGTGCAGGACGACCTCCACCCCCTGGACCCTGGGCACAGAGGCTTGGCCGACAGGTAGTGACCACAGCCGCCGGCAGGTGCCGGGGACGGACAGGATGCCCAAGCTGACGGCCGTGGGTCCTCCGGCCGCAGGTCCTCCAGCTGTGGGTCCCAGGACCCGTTCCATTGGCTTTCGGGACGGAGAGGCTGTGGAGGGAGCACGCGGCTGAGGGACGGGCGGTCCAGCAGCAGGCGCCCACCCTTTCGTGTGGAAGGAGCCTTTACCTGCTGTTTTGTATTTATACTCAGACAATATGTCTATAAACAGAGACCAGACCCCAGACTCACGGACAGCCGCCCTGCGCCAGGCTCCCCGCCGAGGCTCTCGCGCTGTGAACTTAACTTAAAACAAAAACTCTCCTCCCCCCCTTCCCGGCCGCACTGGGAGGCCCTCCGCGACCCCGGCTTCTGAGGCCAGCGTGGATTGGCGGACACTCACGTTTCTCAGTGACGAAACGACCAGCTGCTGTTTCTCAGCGACCCTCCGGTGCCCGGGACCTTCCGGGAGGCGGCCGAGGGCGAGGCTTCGATGGAGACCGTGTGACCGTGTCACCCGGGCCCTACCCCGGTGATTGTTGTGGAATAGTTGCAATGTGATGGAAGTGCAATAAAGATTCAGCAAACGTGTGTGGGGGCCCAGGTCCCTCTCACCCTGAGCCCAGCTGCCCGCCCTCCAGAGAAGCAAGTCCTGGTGCTGGGCAGGGCCTCAGCCCCGGCTTCTGAAGTGTCCGGTGGCCAAGCACCTGGGCTGGCAGGAGGGGCCCAGGGTAACGCATGAGCTCTCTCCAAGGGCATGAGTGGGCATGGGGGCTGCCCTCTGTCCCACGCCTGGTGGGGCAGCACAGAGAGTGGTGGAGATCCTTCCAACCACAGGCCGGCCACAGAAGGTAGCTTCGGGTGGGCAAGCATGTACCCAGCGGAGCAGGGACAGTGGTGGCCGCAGGAAGGAGGGCCCATGAGATCAGGCCTCAACCAAAAGCTCCCCTCACCTGCTGGCCACGGGGAGACCTAGCCGCAGTGAGCCCTTCCTGGGCAGCACCAGGCTCATTTCAACGGTCGCCAAAGCAATCTCCTCCCCCGCACCCCCTCTCGTGCCAACATGGGGCATCGGGGGCCTGAGCCAGGGGTCAGTGAGCCTCGGGGTTCTCGAAGCACTAGAGAACAGTCTGGAAGTCCCAGCCCCTCCCACCTTTTACTTCCTCCCCACCCCTGGCAGCCTGGCCCCAACATTTCGGGTCTGAGCTGAGCCATGAGGTCATTAGTTCCCTCACTTTACAGATGGGGAAATGGGGGCTCAGGAGGGTCAGGTTACTTTGTGCAAAGGTCAGTTTAGGATCCCTGGGACCCGGGATCCAATGGCAACCCCACCCACAACAGAGTACCAGGCTGAGAAGTGTCCAAAGGGCATGGATGGCGTGTTGCATGTGGATAGCATGATGTGTGTGAATGGCATGATGTGTGTGGATGGCGTGTGTGATCAGTGGCCCCAGAGCCTGTCCCCATATCTTCCTGCCCAGCCGAGCACTCGCCTCCTTTGCACCAGCCCCCCAGCGGGGAGCGGCCCCGTCTGTCCAGGTCCTCGTCTGTCCAGGTCCCCGTCTCCCGTCTTGCTGCAGGAACAGGAATGAGGTGGAGGAACAGGTCTGTCCATGGTTTCATCTGGAATGTGAAGACTAAACTATTCCTTTGTATCCAATTCAAAACGCAGTCAGAGCTGCTGGTGGTCAGAGGGTGCGGCCGGCCTCCAGGAGGTCAGCCGTGGCCAGGATACATGCTCCCACGAGCTCAGGCCTGGGCTTTCCAGGCTCCTTTGGCCATGGTCTCTGCTCCTGGAATTGCGTGGCTGGTAGACTCTATTGAGCCCACTTTACACTGTCTAAACCGAGGCTCTGATGAGTGTGGACTTCCCTGAGCTCAACACCGGGATTTGGGACCTGTCTGCCTGCCGGCTGGATGGCATGCAGACCCCCTTTCCATCTTCAAGGGTCCGCTCCACATGGCAGCCTAAGCACGCCGGCCCAGCGCACCCAGCCTCCCCCCACCCCCCGGGCCTCCGGTGGACCATGTGGAGAGACAGAGAGGAGGGCACGGGAGCCTGGGCTGAGGGGGTCGAACTAGATGAAGAAAAGGACCTTCCAGTTCCTGGTGGTGAGTGCATGCTTCCCGGCGAGAGCTGAGCAACCGGCTTTGTCCATAATCAGGGCAGCATCTAGCCGGAGGGCCCAGGGAGACACTGGGCGAGAATTCAAACATCGTACGTAGTCACCCCACAGGGGAATGAAACCAACCCCCTCTTTGTCGGCTTGGTATCATTTTGGAGAATCAAGAACCCAGCAGAGCCTGGCCCACATGACTCAGTGGTGGAGCATCAACCTAGGAACCAGGAGGTTGCAGGTTCGATTCCGGTCAGGGCACCTGCCTGGGTCACAGTCTTGATCCCCAGTGTGGGGCGTGCAGGAAGCAGCCGATCCAGGATTCTCTTTCATCATAGGTGTTTCTACCTCTCACCCCCTCTCCTCTCTGAAGTCAATAAAAAATACATTAATACATTAAAAAAAGAGGCCAGCAGAGGGGTGGCTCTGAGGGCGGCTAGAATGAACAGAAACTAGAGGTGACCCCTGCGCGACCCCTCGCTGTGGGCTGTGGGCTGTGGGCATGGGATGCGTGAAGGGCTGAGGGAAAGCACCTCCGTTCCCAACCTCACCCAGAAGGCTGAGGTGGACGAGGGCCCAGGGGCCCACCGCGGCTCAGACAATGGCCGCCTCGGGCGGTGGCAGCTGGGCCCACCTGGCACCCACACTCCCTGCCGAACAGTGACCTGGGAGGAAGGCAAATACACGAACTCCTGGGGCCAGGCCCCGAAGTGCAGGCCACACGGGGGAAGGACCCAGGGGCCTTTGCCGGGCTCCCAGCCACTCCCTGGGGTGCTGCCTCGCCTAAGGGGTGCCCAGCTGCCACTGGAGCGGCTCCCCTCAGCCTGCACACCCACTGCCTGCCCTCAGCTGCATGTCCATCTGCCCACCTCCTGCCCACCGCCTGCCCTCAGCCTGCCCACAGCCTCCCCTCAGCCTGCCCTCAGCTTGCACGCCCTCAGCCTGCCAGCCACCTCTCCTCAGCCTGCCCAGCTGCCATCGGCCACACCCCCACCCAGGGGCCTGGAACCTTTGCTGTGGGCGGCCGGGAGGCCTGGTTGTGGGTGGGGGAAGAAAGTAGACCTCAGGCCTCTGTTGGGAGAACAGAGGGAAAAGCCCCCCATGTGTGTTGGGGGGCTCCCATATACACAGGGGGACTTGCATTTGGAGGAGGGTCTGCGGGCTGAGAGAACTGCCAGCCGGGCCCAGGTATTTGGGAACTGGGCTCAGAGTCCATCCCATCTCAGGAGGCGGAGGGGCAGAGAAGCTCCCAGCCTGCAGGTCTAACGGGGTGAGCAGGGAGAAGCCATGACAGCAGGGGGAGGGGCCTCAGGGCCAGCTGTGTCCCTGTCGCTGTGGGGTTGGGCAGCATGGGGTGCACAGCAGAGCCAGCCTAGGTTGGGGGCACGTTGCTGTGGGGCTCCAGTCAGGCTTGCCCAGGGCCCACCGGGCGACTGCCTTCCCCATTTGCACTGGCCAGCGGTGCCCTGCAGTCACCCCGCCCAGAAGGCCACACTGAGGTTGCTGCCCATACCCAGTCCCCTGGCGCCACCTGGAGGAAACCCTGGGAGGACAGGGCAGGGAGGCCACAGCTGGGCCCCTGCTGGGCAGGGGGGGGTGGTCGGAAGCCAGGATGTCAGAGCTCAGAGGAGGCAAGGATCCTCAGCTTTGGGCAGATGGGCCCCCAGCAGGTCCTGCCAGCCCTAGCTCCAGCTGCCATCCTGCCTTCCAGGGCCAGCTCAGGTGGCCCTCAGGGTTCTTGCTGTATCGCTGCCTTTGTCTCTAGTGGTGGCAGGTGGAGCCGCCACGCCTGCAATAGAAAATACGACAGAAATCACAGTGCATTCACAGGTCACTTCATCACACGAGAAGTGCCCTGTTTTTATGCATCCAAACTCCACCGTCCTGTCCTGAGGTCCCCACTGTTCTAATTCAGGGCTTTTGTCTGGGGGTACAGGTCCGGACAGTAACTGGCTTTGCAGGTAGGAGGTGTGACGCCGAGCAGTCCGCTTACCTGGAGGTGCCAGTGGGTCCCGTGGGTTCATGTGCCATAAGAACTCAGAGCAGCCCGGTGGCATGGCTCCACGGTCCAGCCAGGACCCAGGAACCAGGGTTCGATTCCTGTTCAGGGCACTTGCCTGAGTGGCTGTGGGAACGCACCTCTGTTCCCGCCCTGGGTTGTGGGCTCAGTCCCCAGCGGGTGGCGTGCAGGAGGCAGCAATCAAGAATTCTCTCTCATCATTAATGTTTCTTTCTCTCTCCTTTCCCTCCCTCTCTGAAATCAGTTAAAAAATATTTAAAATCAATAAAAATGTATTTAAAAAACAACTCAGAGCAGAGCTGACTTGGTAATTGACCAGGAAGCGTGCATGCACGTCCCGGGCACTTGCATGGGCTTTGGGACCTAGACATTTGCCCTGCTTCTTGTGCGGGCCGGCAGGTGAGCTCGCTGGCTGTCCTGAGACTGTCCGCCTCTGCAGGCTCTGTCTTTGTTGAGCTCAGATAGACGCTCTTCCTCTCAGTGGGTTTGGAAGCATCTGGCCGGTGACCCAGGAGCCCCCAGGCCCCAGGCCCAGGTGCAGAGGCCGTTCCCCGGGGTCAGGCAGATGGGTCACGGAAGGCCCTGCGCCCGCTGAAGGACCAGCTGCCAGTGCCACAGACTCCGGCAGAACCAGCCGCCTTGGCACAGCAGCAGGAACCGCCAGGGCCGTCACGGAGCGAACCGTGGGGTTCGGGCCCTGGTTCCCGCTCCACAGCTGGCAGCTGGGAGGCGGGCACCTCTCATTTCCTGCTGTTTCTACTTCAGTGTTTTTCACTGGGGGAAGTGGGGGCGGAGGGGGGCAGGGGTGCGGTTGGTAATGAGAGTTCAGCTTCTAGTCAGAGCTGATCGCCCGCCGCAGCAGTGGGCCAAGCCTGGTCTGTCCTCGGTGCCTTAGGGGCCAGCACGCGGCCTTGACACTGAAGGGGGGGCCCCACACGGAGAAGGGACAGTGGTGTGAAGAAGGTGCTGCGCTCAGGGCGGCTCTACCTGGAATGGGGGGGACAGAACACACCCCAAGATCTGGTCTGGGTGGATCCCAGGAGGCTCTGCCAGGACCTGGAAGGCTGGGTAGGGCAGCAGGTGTCTCCGCCTCCCCAGGGGCTGGCATCCTGACTTCACTACTTTGCACCAGAGCCCATGGCCACGGAGCCTGCGGGTGGGGACAGGCCTGGGCCAGGGGAGCCTGAGGGTGGGGACGGGCCTGTGCTCCGCCATGTCATCTCCTTGGCTCTGCCAGACCCTGGGCTCCTGGGAGTACAAGCCCCAGAACCGGGCTCCCAGGAAGCTCGCCTCCGCTCAGAGGGAGGAAGCAGAGGAAGAGGAGGGAGAGGGCTGGCAGGTGAGGGCTGTGGCATCACTGTTCAGCAAAGAAAACCCAAACGGAGGGGAGGTGATGGGTTCTGTCCCTCAGACGCTACAGGTGACTCGACGCCCGGGTGAGCAACACCCCACAGCCCAGGCACCTGGGGTTCTGCTCAGGAAGGGGTGGGTTTTTATCTTATTTAGTTGCTTTTTAAACGATTTCAAATCTATTTTTATTAATTTGGAGAGAGAGGAAAGGAGAGGAGAGAGAGAAAGATGGATGACAGAGAAACACCTATCGGCTGCCTCCTGCACGCCCCCAGGGGGATGGAGCCCACACCCTGGCCTGTGCCCTGACCCAGAATCAAACCGCGACCTCCTGGTGCACGAGATGGCACTCAGCCATGGAGCTCAGATGGCCCGGAGCACGCAGGGCTTTTAAACTGAGGTTACGGTGTGAGATGTTGTAGATGCAGTGCTGCTGTGACCATAAAACAGACCCCATGGACCCGTTACCTTTCCCAACTGATGTCTTTCCAACTCCAGTGTGATGCCCACCAGCCAGGGCCTGCCCACCTCCCGCACCAAGGGCAGCACCGGGTGCTCTGGGGGCACCGGTCATTCTGAGCTTAGGGGTGCCATATCGAAGGGAAAACTTTCAGGAGAATTCTACCCAGGCTTCCTGGCCTCAGGCAGATTCACAGACAAGGCCAGAGCACCGCAGACTATCTGTGGAAATGCCTTTGGGGGGCACAGTCAGGGTGAGGCAAAGCCAGTGTGGGGTTCCACCTGACTTCCCACCTCATGTCCTGCACCCCTGCCTTCTCTGCACACACCTGTACGGGGCGTTGGCACCAGGGAGGGGCAGCGGTTGGTGGCGTGGCTGCCCAGGCACATAGGAGCTGGGTAAAGCGCAGACCCAGCGGCAGGCTGAGCCCGCCTGGGGTCCCTAGAGCAGGCCCCCTCCGGGCAGTAAGAGACAGAGGTGGGGGGGGGGCACACACAGCTGGGGGAGGCCCTCATGGGTCTGACAGGCTCTGATCCAGGCAGGGACACACCTGCGGGCGCCTTTCCCACCTGGACCACTGCTCGGGCTGAGCAGGACTGAGGCTGGTGGGGAGGGCGGCAGGCACCTGGCAGTGGAGGGTGCACTCTGAGGGTCCCTGTGCTGGAAGACCCACCGTCCCCAGGCGCCCAGGGGATGGGGCGAAGGAGCTCCGGGGACATCCGCTGGCACTGGGAGGACCGGACTCTGGGCCGCAGGGGGGGAAGCGCGATGGCGGAGAGAGAGGCCGCGGTGCGCATCCCGCCCATGGGACCACCCAGCCCACCCCGCCTCTGCCTAGGCAGCGGGTCGCTGAGAGCCCGCTCTCTCCTCTCCGCCTCGGAACCCGGGCGGGGCTCCCCGCGCCGGGATTGGACGCCGAAGAACGGGGTGGTGCCAGGTGGGGACCCCAGGAGCCGAGGTCCCCTGCTCCGGCGGAGAGCACCCGCAGAGCAGCGTTGCTGTCCGTGTGCACAGACCAGACCGGAGCCAGGAGGGAACCAGGCAGAGCGGGTCCGGACGGTGCGAGGATGTTCGACAGCTCGCAGTACCCCTACAACTGCTTCAACGACGACGCCGACGGCCCGCCCGGCAGCGCAGACGCTGAGCAGCGGCTCACGCGGCCCGCGTACAGGTGACCGGGTGGGGAGGGCGCGGGGCGCGGACGGCCAGGACCTGCCGGCGGCGGAAGGGCGTCCTCTTCGGGGGACGGGGCTCAGAGAAGGGGCTCCCGGGTCCCCACGTATCTCCCAACTTCCTGGCCCACGAGGGCGCTTCTGGGGTCCGGACAAAGCGGGGAGCAGGGAGCCCCAGGGACCACCCTCCTCCAAAGCCCTCAGCCCTTCCAGCCGGGCGGGGGAAGGACCAGCGCGTGGCCTCCAGAGGGGACCCGCGCCCAGAGGCGCCGCCTGGGGGCCCCTCGCGCCCCGGGCCTGACGCCCCCATTTGCAGCTACATCGCGCTGATCGCCATGGCCATCCAGCAGAGCCCGGCGGGCAGGGCGACCCTGTCGGGCATCTACGACTTCATCATGCACCGCTTCCCCTTCTACCGCGCCAACCAGCGCGCCTGGCAGAACTCCATCCGCCACAACCTGTCGCTCAACAGCTGCTTCGTCAAGGTGGGTCTCCGCCCCCGTCCTTCCCACCCCGCCCTTCCACCCCCTGAGCGCCCCCTGTGCGCCCCCTGAGCCCCTGTGTCCGCCCTCCAGCCCCCTGAGCCTCCCTGTACTCTCCCCCCCAGTCCCCGGTGCGCCCCTGAGCCCTGTGTTCCCCCCCCCAGGCCCCTGAGCGCCCCCCCTCGCAGGCTCGGGGACACCGGGGCCAGGTCTGACAGGGAGCGTGGGGGGAGGAGGGGTGCGGCAGCTGCTGCCAAGCTCACTCTTAGCAAACGGGGCTCCCCAACTACTGATGGGCGACCCCCCGCCCCGACAGGGGCGGGCCCTGCGCCCTGAGGGCGCCCAGAGGAGCGGGAAGGGCCCGCGCTGAGCCTTCGCCGCCCGCAGGTGCCGCGGGCCGCAGGCCCCGGGAGGGGCAAGGGCAGCTACTGGACGCTGGCGGGCGGCGGCGCGGCGCTGCGGGACCTGTTCGAGGACGGCAACTTCCGGCGGCGGCGCCGGCGGCGCGGGGGGCGCGAGGGACCGCGGGGGCAGGCGGGGGGCGCGGGGGGCGCGGGGGGCTCGGGGGGCGCGGAGGGGCCGTCCTGCGCTCCAAGGTCCTGCGCCCCCGGGTTCCCCGCCCCTCGCGGCGAGTCCCCGCCCGTCGCCAGCCCCGCCCCCGGGAAGGCGCCGCCCCGAGACCTCAAGTTCAGCATCGACTACATCCTCTCCTCCCCGGACCCCTTCCTCAGGCCGGGCCCGCCGCGCGGCGAGGAGGGCGCCCCGCCCGCCGACCTCCCCTGCTGGACCCTGTGAGGCCGAGGCTGCCCTCCCCGCGGGCCGCCCGTCCCCTGGCTCTGGGCGATTTCATCCCACCGAAGCCCAGAGCGAGCCCTGCCCGCACCTGCCACCAGCAGGCACCTGCCAACCTGCAGGCTCCGGGTCCCAGGAGCCCGGGCTGGAAGGAGGCTGACGGGGAAGGGCGCAGGGCACCGCGGTGCTGACTCAGCCCCCAGAGCTCGGTCCCTGCCGCGCCTGAGGGTTTGCTCTGGAGTGTCCGTCCGTCCATCCGTCTGCACAGGGAATGGGAACAGCCCTGGATACGCTCACTCAGTCACCGTGGCCACACTGGCTGCCAGTCGCTCGTGAGAGTTGGGAGCATCTAATGGGCCTGACTGCGGCCAGGGCTGCCCTCCCCACCCGACCCCAGAGGCGCCCTCCCGGGCCGGGAAGTGGGGAGCCCCGTGAGGGACGGACACACCTTCAGTTGTGGGCTGGCGGTCTGATGACTCTAGGACGTTCCATGCACTTTTTACAGGAAAGACAGAGGGAGCAGGGAAGGAGGGAGAAACAGGGTCCAAGTCCAGGACAACATGGAGGCAACGCTCACTTTCCTGATTCTTCTGAGAGGAGTTAGTGCCCATTCAGTCAGGTGCCATCCACAGTGACATCAAAGCCAGTGGAGACAGAGCCCCCTCCACTGTGCAGTGTGCACATTCCAAGCACTGGAGGTGGGCACACCACATCTGTAAATGTAAATTAATCCCTGTGCAGAGATGAATGTTTAAAAAACCACAATGTGTACAGGGGACCTGTTTGAACAATCTTACCCTTTTGCACCTGCCCATTTTGCAGTTGGTTGCTATCTAGGACTTAATTTGAACAGAAGTGTGGATGGCACCTAATCTGATTCCCTTGATGACGATGACTGACTCATTTTGTAACCGAAAAGCCCCCCAAGAGGCAGGGAATTTGTGGTTGCCTCATGGACCTCTGGAAGGCACTGAGAGTAAATGAGGCACCTCCCGCTCCCTCTGTCAGAGCCTGGCTTCCTTAAGTGGCGGGCTCCCCATCCCTGCAAACAGAGCCTCCGTGCTCCTTTAACTGTTCCGGAAGAGAGGCCGACTGCTTCGTGGTGACGGCCCCACCCCCAGCACCCCTCGCCACCGGCCCTGCAGGCTGCAGCATCTGCCCGCCAGGCTGGTCTGCACACCAGCCTGGGAGCCAGGCTCACTCTTGTCCCCCATCTACAGCAGCGGCTGGGCCAGGTGCAGGCGGGTGCACCTGTGTGTGCATGTGCCTCGGAGATGTGTGCTGTGTGACTGTCCGCATTCTTATTTACATCCCTTGTTGGCTGTGCAAAAAACATTGTTTTAAACTGTACCAGATGTAATGTGGATTGTGACACAAAGCAGGCTGTACATACATACATATGTGTACGTGGGAGGTGACACGTTTCAAGTTATGCTGTACATGCGTGTATGTGGGTGGTGAACACAACACATTGTGCTGTACATGCATGTACATGGATGGTGACATGAAGCAGGCATAGGTATTATGGATCTGGAGCCTCTGAAGATCTATTTTTCTGCTACCAACCAAGCAAATAAAATGTGCGTTTTCCTCCCGGTTCTTGCTCCGTTCCTGTGCTTCGTTGGTGAGGGAAGCCTTTGCCTGGAAGAGACCATCCCTGAGGCCTAGCCTGGGAGGAGCTGGGTGCTGCTAGGCACCTCCAGCCGCCATTCATGGGCACACGACCCCGGTGCCCAGAGCAGGGGCAGCCCCAGGGCAGGATCCTGCTCTACAAGGTGTAACATTTGTTCTGTGGAGGCTATCAATCATGTTGTAAAAGCGGAGGGACATTTTCAATTTGCCAGCGCGAGGTATCCTGCAACGTGGGAAGGGCTCCCAGGCCCGAGAGTGAGTGGCATTTAATACCAAACAACACCACGGCGAGGGCTGCCTCTGACCTATTCAAATGTCGCCGCCACCGTGCCGACGTGCCCGCGTAATTATAATTAAGCAGTTTATGCCGCTCTTGCAAATCTGCTGATTGATCACCGATACGCACATTATGCCCCGTTACCCGGAGCAGGTGTCTGCCACTCACGGTCATGGATCACCAGGTTTCCATTAGCGGAGTCGGAGGCTGCAAGTGGGAGCTAGTGGAGACGCATGCAGGTTTCTGCGTGCAGAGCAAAGTTTTTGGGTCCAGGACCTGGAGACAGCGGGGTGTCCCTCTTCTGGAGCTGGGACTGCAGGGCCAGGTAGGGCCTGTCCTTCCTGGGAGGGCAGGGGGATCCGACCCTGGTGCAGGGGCTGGGCTGAGGGTCTATAGCGTGGACAGGTGTGTGAGTGTGCACCAACCTCAGTGGGGCTCCCCAGGGAGGCCTCCCTCAGCCACAGCACCCGGTCGGACATTTCCTGCCACACCGAGCTGCTGTCCTGGCCCATCTTCCTGGGCAGCAGAGAAGCTTCATTCTCTCCAACTTCCTTCCTCCCCTCCCCTTTTCTTGTTTTATAAATATACTAGAGGCCTGGTGCACGAAATTCATGCACGGTAGGGTCCCGAGGCCTGGTTGGTGGTCAGGGCCGATCTGGGAGGTGACTGACAGGGTGGGTGATCAGGGGGCCCCCACTGGCATCTGCCTTGGCTGACCTAGCATTGCCTGCTCACCAGCCACGCCCTGCCACCTCCACCTCCGGTTGCCTCCCTCTGCAGGGTAACTGGCAGGGCAATCAGGAGGCCCCCACAGGCACCCGCCTTGGCTGGCCTAGGGCCTGCAGGCTGGGGGCAGCTCCTGCATTGAGCATCTGCCCCCTGGTGGTCAGTGCGCATCATAGCAACCTGTTGTTCTGCCATTCAGTCAATTTACATATTAGGCTTTTATTGTATAGGATATATATATATATATATATATATTATTTTAGAAAGGAGGGGGGGAGAGAGAGAGAGAGAGAGAGAGAGAGAGAGAGAGAGAGAGAGAGAGAAACATCCTGATTGCTGCCTCCTGCATGCTCCACCCTGGGGATAGACCCACAACCTGGGCATGTGCCCTGACCAAGAATCGAACTGTGACCTCCTGTTTCTTTCCTCCCTTAACTGAGTGAATTGGGCTGTTTCTTCACTCCATCAGCAGACACCTGTGAGCTGTGCTCAGCGCTGGGTGCCATTATGAACCAGAGGCCCTGACAGTGTCCTAGCCACGTGCATGGGAAGCCACGGGAAGCCACCCTGAGTGACTCAGACTTTCTCACCCCTGCCACCAGGAGCAGGCCCTGCCCAGGTGCTGAGGGGGCAGCTCACCGTGGGCATAGCAGCCAGTTGGACTGGGCTTGGGCAGGGCCCTCAGGGACTAGCAGGGGCAGCTGTGCCACAGGAAGGGCACTCGGGGGGAGGGCAGTAAGAGGAACTCCCGAGGTGGGAAGGCATGGGGGAGGGATTTGCAGAAAAGAGCGAAGCCAGCGTAGCTGTCAGGAGGTGCAGGAAGGAGCCCCTGAGTCCAGCCAAACACTTCAATTTCTTTAATATTTGACATGCATCTCCTGCAGGACAATCACCTCCCACATCCTGGGCCCTTTATCTTGGTTAATGTGGCCTCCATGCCAGCTGACTTACCTGAGCTCACACACCACACAGTAGCTGTGGCCACACTTGACCCCTGAGCACCAGGAACCCCTAATCCTGGAACCGGATGAGGGTGCGGACCCCATGCAGCCAATGCCTTCCGTAGCTTTTTGGGGTCCACACTGCCCCCCTGGGACCAGAGGAAGTGCACACAGTCCATACCTGCAGTGGATTCTATGTGCAGCCACACAAATGATGCATAAACATTTGCAAAGCCATGTGCTTTCGCCGTTAAAAATACCAGCATGCTGCATGTAAATGGGCCTCCTCCGTGGCTTTGCTGGAGAGACGGGTCCTCCCACACGGGCACAGCTTGTCGGGCTGCTGCCCAGATTAGCGTCCCCCTGTGCGCTCTGTGAGATTGACTTCTGCCGCTCCCAGTGCCGTGGGGCCCCGGGTCCAGATAGGATACTCACTGGGCTGGAACCTGCACTGAGACTTGTAATCAACAGTCATGCAGACCAGGCCAATCCCAGACAGGAAAGAAAACTGGGTGAGAAAGTACGAAATCAGTTCAGCTCCCCTCTGTGCCCTGTGGGGATGCAGCACCGCGGACGGCACCTCCAATGGGCACCTTGGACGGGCACCAGGGACGGGCACCAGGGAGGGTGGGGTGGCGAATTCCCTGCACCCGCCGAGGAGGGGACGCAGCTGGTCCCTGAGTGGTCACCACGGAGGTGCCACCCGTGGTATGGGTCGGGTGCCACACAGCTGTTTCCATCCACCTGCTCAGCACGTGTACCCCTTGTCCCAGAGGACCGGCGGACGCCCCTGCATCACCCCACAGCGAGTTCTCCGCCCGGGCCTCACCCTCCCAACCTCGCTGGCTCCCAGCTTCAGCCTGATGGCAGGAAAGGGGGTCTGTCCAGGGACACCACATTCCTGTCCGAGTTTGGGGCAAGAAGAAGAAAGTCAGACCTGCTCTGTCTTTTTATTTCCGAGGCCCGGAGCACGGATCATGTGCCGGTAGGGTCCCTCGGTCGAACGGTCACTTGGGCTTCTATCATAATAAAAGGGAAATATGCCAATTAGACCTGACGTCTTCTGGACATCCTTCCTGACAAAGCCCGGCCGGAGGGAAGCAGCCTAGGTCCCAGGTGCCAACAGGAAGCCAGTGCCGGCAGCCAGGGGAAGGAAGGCCTACTCCTGCACATATTTTCGTGCTTCAGCCTCTTGTTTCCATGTGTATAGGTGAGTTAATCCTCACCGAGGACATGTCTCCATTGATTTTAGAGAGAGAGGAAGAGGAGGGGGAGACATCAGAATCGGCTCAGCCTCACAGAGGCCTCCTCGGCTTCCATGCCAGGTCCACCCAGGCCTCCCTGGCGCCCACACTCCTAGGAGGGGCCACAACAGGCCCCACAACAGGCCCCAGCACTGGGTGGGTGCACCGGGCCACATGGCTGGG